GTGTCCCTGTCCCTGTGTTCCTGTCCCTGCCCTGTCCCCATGTCCCTATCCATCTGTCCCTGTCCCTGTCCGTGTGTCCCTGTCCCTGTGTTCCTGTCCCTGCCCTGTCCCCGTGTCCCTCTCCCCGTGTCCGTGTGTCCCTGTCCCCGTATCCCTGTGTCTCCGTGTCCCTGTCCGTGTGTCCCTGTGTCCCTTTGCCCTGTCCCCGTGTCCCTATCCCTGCGTCCGTGTCCCTATCCCTGCCCTGTCCCTATCCATGTGTCTTTGTCCCTGTGTTCCTGCCCTGTCCCCGTGTCTCTGTCCCCGTGTCCCTGTCCCTGTCCTGTCCCCGTGTCCCTGTCCGTGTGTCCCCGTGTCCGTGTGTCCCCGTCCGTGTCCCCCCGTTGTGTCCCCGCATTCGGCCGCCAGGGGGCGCTGTCTCCCCGAAGCGGTGCATTGGCCCCGCCCCCTCTCGGTGTAGCCGTGACCAACTGCGCATGCGCAGGGCGGGGTTTAAATGGGGCTGTAAACCGGGGAGGCGTGGTCACGCGTGCGCAGGAAAGGCGTCGGCCTGTGCGCGGTGCCGGGGTGGAATGGGGCGGGGTCTGCGGGTGGAAGGGGCGGGGCCGGGGGCGGGGCCATGCGCGGGCTCTCCCGCGCCGTTCGACTCATGGCGGGGATCGGGATCGGGACCGGGATCGGGACAGGGACCGGGATCGGAGGCTCCGGAGGCTCCTCCATGGCCGGGATCGGGCCCGGGGGCTCCGTCGCCACCGCGGCCGGGCAGAAGCGGCCGCGTCCCGAGCCCGCCCCGCTCATCGGCACCCACGACGGCACCTTCCACTGCGACGAGGCGCTCGCGTGTTTCCTTCTGCGGCTCCTGCCCCGCTACCGGGTACGGCCCCGGGCTCCGTGCGGCGGCACCGGCACCGTGCGCTGCAGGGGCCCGGCTCCCTCCTCAAGTCTCCCCTGTGACCTCGCTCGGGGCTCCCAGTCCCACCTGCGGCCACCGTCGGGTCTCCCGGACCCGCGTGGAGTCCTTGGGACCCACCCAGTGGTGGGTGATCGGGGTCCCGCCTGGGGGTCACCCTGACGCCCCTCCTCGGGGTCCCTTGTCACCTGGGGCTCACCCTGAAGCTCTCAGCCCCTCCTCGGGTTCCCCGGTCCCCCGGGGGCAGCTCTCGGGGGTCTCCGGTGCTCCGGGGGACCCTCATGCTCCGCGTGCCCCCCGGCAGGACGCGGAGGTGGTGCGGACGCGGGACCCCCAGCGCCTGGCCCAGTGTGACGTGGTGGTGGACGTGGGGGGCGAGTACGACCCCGAGCGGCACCGCTACGACCACCACCAGAGGTGAGACCCACCCCCGGCCCGCCCGCCGGCACAGCGGCGTCCCCGGGGGTCCCTGGGGCTGACCCCGGTGCCCTGCAGGTCCTTCACAGAGTCCATGAGGAGCCTCCGGCCCGACAAGCCCTGGAGCACGAAGCTGAGCAGCGCCGGGCTGGTCTATTGTCACTTCGGCTCCCAGATCCTGGCAACGCTCCTGGGGCAGCCGGAGGACGGGCCCGTGGTCACGGCGCTCTATGATAAGGTACGGGGGGCTCTGACCCCCCCCCCAGTGCCACAGCTCTGCCCAGGGCTGCTCCTTTTGGTGGGGGGTCACCCCACAGGAGATTCCAAGAAAGAGGCGACCAGTTTGTGGCAGCTGCTGGTGTGTGGTTGGGCCCTGCTGTGCCCCCCCCAGTGCTGCCCCCGTTGTCCCCCCTCCTGCTTTCCCCCCCATTTTCCTCCTGCTGTCCCCTCACTGTTCCCTCCTTTGCTGTCCCCTTCTTTCCCCTCTGTCCCCTCACAGTCCCATTGTCCCTTCACTGTCTCCTCCTGTCCCTCCCCTGTTCCTCTGCTGTCCCCTCTGTCCCCTCACTGTCCCCGCTGTCCCCCTCCCAGCTCTACGAGAACTTTGTGGAGGAGATCGACGCCATCGACAATGGGATCGCACAGGCGGAGGGGGAGCCCCGCTACGCCCTCACCACCACCCTGAGCGCCCGCGTGGGGCACCTGAACCCCCGCTGGAACGACCCCGACCAGGACACCGAGGTGGGCACGGGCACCATGGCCCCTCTGGGACACCCGGCTCAGGGACACCCAGGATGGGGACACCTGGCCTGGGGACCCCCCTGACCCCTCATTGTGCCCCCAGGCGGGGTTCAGGCGGGCGATGGAGCTGGTGGGGAGCGAGTTCATGGACCGGCTCGACTTCTACCACCGGGCCTGGCTGCCGGCACGGGCACTGGTGGAAGAGGCCGTTCGGCGCCGCTTCGAGGTAGGGCCACTGGTCCAGGGGTGTCTGAAAATGGGGGGGCAGCTTTGGGGTGTGGGGAGGCCCAATCGCCTCAGTATGAACCTCCCTGCATGGCCCTGCAGCCCCCACTGTGCCCCACACAGGGCTCTGTACCCCCACTCTGCCCACCCTTCTCCCCACCTCATCCACGCCCCATGTGTGGGGCTCTCTGAGCCTCAGGGGGTGAAGCCAAGCCCTGGGGCCATTTGGGGGCTCTGGGAACAGTCCCCCAGAGTGGCTGTGGCGTCCCCCCTCCCAGGTGGACTCGAGTGGGCAGGTGCTGGAGCTGCCCCAGGGCGGCTGCCCCTGGAAGGAGCACCTTTTCCAGCTGGAGAAGGAGCTGGCCCTGCCAAGGCCACTCCAGCTTGTGCTGTTCCCGGACCGGGGCGGGCAGTGGCGGGTTCAGAGCGTCCCCACAGGACCCCACACCTTCCAGAGCCGGTGAGACCCCTCCCCTCATGCTGTGCACCCCCCCTCTGCCCCCCCTGTCCCCCCCCACACAGATCTGCACCCCCATTCTGCCCCCCTGCACCCCCACTCTGCTCCCCCTGTACACTTCCCCACAGCTCTGCACCCCCTACTCTGCCCCCTGTACCCTCACTGCCCCTCTCTGTACCCCCACTCTGCCCCTCTGTATCCCCCCCACGGCTCTGCACCCCCATTCTGCCCCTCTCTGTACCCCAAGTCTGCCCCCTGTACCCTCATTCCACCCACCTGCACTCCTCTCCGAGCTCTGTACACCCACTCTGCCCCCTGTACCCCCATTCTACCCCCCATGTGCCCCCCCCAGGTTGTCACCCGGTGTCCCCCGTGTCCCCCCCAGGCTCCCCCTGCCCGAGGCGTGGCGGGGGCTGCGGGACGAGGCCCTTTCCCAGCTCTCCGGTGTCCCCGGCTGCGTCTTCGTCCACGCCAGCGGCTTCATCGGCGGCAACCGGAGCCGGGAGGGGGCCCTGGAGATGGCACGGCGGGCACTGCGGCACGGGGGGGGGCACGCAGAGCGGGTGAGCCCCCCCCCTCCCATCGCCGTCACCCCAAAAGGGACCCCCCGGCCCAGCGCGGGGGGTTCCAGGGGCAGCTGGGACTGTTCCTGTAACGGGATCGCAGCGAGATGCTCCAAGGGACCTGCGGGGGTGGGGGGCAGCCCCCCCCCCCGGGTGGCAGCGTGCCCACCACCCCTGGCACTGGAGGGGCACCAGCCCAGTCAGAGACTTGCTGGCTCCGTTTCCCTGGAGTTTGCTCCCGTTCCTGTATAACCCCCCCACCCCATTCCGAGGGGTTTCCAGCACCAGTAAAGACCAGTGTGTGCCCAGTGGATGCGCTATTGGGGGCCCCGGGGGGGTGGGCAGGGGGTAGGGGTTGCTGTGAGGTGGGTACAGCCACGGGAGCCAGCGCTTCCCCCCGCCCTCCCCGCCCCAATCCCGCGCATCAGCAGCGCTGGGGGGGGGCACAGAGCCCCCCCTCCCGTGCCACCCGTCCTCCCGTGCCACCCGTCCTGCCGTGCCACCCGTCCTCCTTCCCGGGGCAATGCAGGCAGCCTGGCTGCTCCTGCTGGCGCTGGGGCTCCCCGGGCACTGCCGGTGCCCAGGGGGGGCCCCCGGGGCGCTGCCCCCCCCACAACGAGACGCTGGGCGGGGCCGGGGGGGCGCGGGCCCCCGACATGGTGGTGCTGGTGGCCGTGGGGGGGTGGCTGGGGGCCCTCCTGCTCTACGTGGGCCGGTTCGTGCGGAGGAGCCGGGCGGAGACGCGGCTGCACCTGGAATACCTGCGGGCACTGCCCTTGGAATACCTGCGGGCACGGCCCCGGGAGGAGGAGGAGGAGCCGCTCAGCGCCTTCCGGGGAGGCAGCACCGGGAGCAAACCGGGCAGTGCCGAGGGGTGAAGCCCCCCCCCCGGTACCGCCCCAGCAGCAGCGGTGGGTTCATCCCCCAGTTTTTCCCCCTGGATCCTCCTCGTGCCTGTGCAGCCCCATGGAGGGGCTGGATGTGGGTGGGGTGGGGGTGGTGGGGGGGACTCTCTGTCCCACCTCGGGATTGGAGGAGCATTTTGGGGGTCCCGGGGGGGTCTTTGGGTTGTGGGGGTGAGCAGGGACCCTGCGCTCTCCCCATTATCCCTGTTATTGCAGTGTAATCCTGGGGATTAACCATATGTAATCCCGGGATTTAACCACGCTGCCTCCCGCCTCATTAATCCCTTCTCTGGGCAGGGGGGGTCCATCTGCTGCCCCCCCCCTTTGGTGCTGGTGGGGGGGCTCACGTGGGCTGGCACGAGCACCCCGGGGACCCTCCAGCCCTGCTCACAACCCGACTGGGCTCAAGTTTGGGGTTTTATGGACCCACAGGGGGTTCAGTTCACCCACAAGGGGAGGCCTGGGGTGCTGTGTGTGCAGCCAAGGACCCCTGAGCCCCCCCTGCCTTCACCTTTCCCCAAAATGTGGCTCTTTAACCCCAAAACAACCTGGCCCCGTGGGCTCACCCCACTGGGCTTCAGCACGGGGAAGTTCTGCAAGTTGACCCTGAGCTCTCTCTGACCCCAAAAAGCAGCTCTGGAGCACCCCCAGACCCACGGAACTTCCAGAACTCACCCCATGGAAAGTTTCCAGCCCCCTCAGGGCAAGGAAAGAGGAGGAGAGGGGGGAAAGATCGGCCTTTATTCGATGCAGACTCTGGGAGACCCCCTCTGCCCCCCAAGGGGTTGAAGGCCGCCAGGGGTCCCAGGAGGAAGATGAGGCTGCCCAGGGAGGAAGAGGAGCCACCAAGGCCCCGGGCTGTGGTCACAGCTCTGAGAAGAGGGGCTGCTCCCTCACACTGGCCACGACGGGGACAGGGCTGCGGTGGGGGCTGGCCAGGGGCACGTGGGCACTGACGAAGAAGAAGGGGATGTGGCTGATCTTCCCCGAGGACCAGCACTGGAAAGGAAGAGGACACGGAAGAAAATGAGGGTCCAAGATCCCGGACACCTTCCCCCCAGCCCGTGTCAGACCACCCAGCACCAAGGGGGGAGCGACTCACCACGGTCAGGAGGGCTCCTCGTGGGAAGCAGGGGTGGAAGGCGATGATCTGGGGCTGGGCACCGCGCTCGCCCCGCACGAACCCGCTGTGGGGGGCAGGAGGAGCCACGGTTATGGCACAGCCACAGAAACACCACACTGCCAGGGCCAAGTGGAGACACCCAGGACCTGACTGGATGCACTGGGCAAGGGAGAACCCAAAGCCAAGGGGCTCGAGGTGGATAATGGCCAACACGGCCAAAACACAATGGGATTCGGAGGTAAAACAGTGACAGGCCCTGAAGTGATGCGGGATGGGGTCTCCCCACGGTGAGGAGGGGCTGCTCTTCCCCACCACACCCCCCAGGGGGGGTTAATGGTACTCAATGAACCCAAACCCACCCAAAACCTGCTGCAAGGAACCCACCCAGTGCCCACCACGACTCACCAGGGCAGGAGCTCGAAGACGGGGCTGTTGCGGGTGCGGAACACGGCGATGGCCGTCTGGCTGCCCGGAGAGTCGGGGTGTCCTGCAGGAGGGAGAGGGGCAGGGAGGCTTTCCTTGCTCCAGGGGCACGTGGACAGGCCCCTCGGTGCCCCTCTTCCTTGCTGGAAGTGGGATCTTCAGGCGGGACTCACCTCTGATGATCACTGCGAGTCTCTCTCCAGTGGGGTCCCACACCATGGAATGCACCTCTCCTCCAATCCTGGAACCAGCACAAGCAGCAGGGAAGCCCCCAGGATCGAGGGGCACAGACCCCCTTGGCCCCCCAAATGTCCCCCAGGATCAGGGGGCACAGACCCCCTCAGCCCCCCGGGGTCCCCAGCATCGAGGGGCTGCTGCCAAGGGGAGCGGGGTCCCCCTCTGCCCCCCCAGGTGCCACGTCAGACCCACCTCTCGTCCCCGTAGAGCGTCTCAAAGGTGGTCTCGGACAGGTCTGCCACGATCGAGGCTGTTTTGGAGCCCCCCACCTGCCCCTGCATCTCCCCTGAAGGGAACACTCCATAAATCCCACTGAATTGCCCAGATTTCCCATAATTTATCCATTTCTCAGAACAACGTGCTGATATCCCATGTCTGGGATGGAGGACAGGGGACAGCAACCCCCAGGACCGGCCCCTCTGCTGACAAACCCCTGAGCTGGCCCTGAACATCCCCCCCTGCAAAAACCCTTCGTGTCCACACGACTGAGAGGCAACATGAGGGGGGATAAACCCAACCCCAAGGATTCCGTGCTCTGGGAGACCCCCAAGGCGCCCCCCTGCATGTCCCAGGTCCCTCAGCCAGAGGTGAGGGATCACCTGGGCCCCACCCCAGCCCTTGGGAAGCTCCAGCTCGGGCAGACTCACCCCGGTACTCGGAGAAGGACAAGGAGTAGATGACGGACTCCCCCAGCACCGTGAAGAGCAGTCGGCTGCCGTCCGGGCTCCAGCACCCCGTCTGTGGCACAGGGAGGGTTTGCAGGGAGACTCCAGTGGGTCCAGGGACAGCTCAGGGCTTTGTGGATGGCCCCTCCCCTGGCCAGGGATCTTTTGGAGCCAGCTGGGAATGGGGGATTTTTGGTAAAACCCACCCAACGTGTCCCCGAGGGCCCTGGAGGTGATGTCTGCACCTCAAATCCTGGGGTCAGTTTGGGGCTACGAGACAGACACTGAGGGGCTGGAGCGTGTCCAGAGGTGGGAATGGAGCTGGGGAAAGGGCTGGAGAACTTGTGAGGAGCAGCTGGGGGGGCTCAGCCTGGAGAAAAGGGGACTCAGGGAGGACCTTCACAACTCTGGGGAGCCAGGGAGGGGTCGGGCTCTGCTCCCAGGGAACAAGGGATGGGACAAGAGGAAACAGCCTCAAAATGCACCAGGGGAGGTTCAGGTTGGATACTGGGAAAATTTCCAGGGCTGTCCAGCCCTGGCACAGCTGCCCAGGGCAGGGTGGGAGTCCCCAGCCCTGGAGGGATTTAAAAGCCCTGTGGATGTGGCACTTGGGGGACGTGAGACTCAACGGTCTCAGAGGGCTTTTCCAGCCTAAATGATCCCTTGCCCGAGGAATCCATCCTACCTGGCAGCGTCCTCTGATAGTGGGCCACCGCTCACACGTCCACATCTGAGCCTCCCACACCCTGCAGGAGACAGAACAGGGTGAATTCCTGGGATCTGCCCCAATCCCGCTGTTCCAGGAGCCCACAGGGTCAGACCCAGCCACCCACCCCTGTGCCCTTTTGCCCCCCCCAGCAGGAGTGGGAGCAGTGAGGACACTCAGGCTCCAGATCTGCTCAGTTTTGGGGCAGAAAGAAGGGCGAGGGCTGCGAGGGGAGCTGGGCAGGTGGGGCGCTCACCGGAACACGGCCGAGGGGGTGGCTGCCAGCACCTTGCTGCCATCGGGTGACCAGGCCAAGTAGGTGACACCACCACCCCCAAACCACTGCAGCTGGACACAGTTCTCAGTGGACACGTCCCACACCTGGAGGAGGGGACAAGGAAGGCAAATGGTTACGTCAGAATGCTGACTGTTGGGGGGGGTTGTTTGGATTAGGGGACACAGAGCGATGATTTCAGGTCCAGGTCAAATTCAGAGCTGCCTGACCCACCCTCTGTGGGAGCAGCACCTGTGCCCAGCCCAGCTGTCCCTGGGTGACCCTCTGGGGTGGCCGTGGTCCCCACATCCCCCCGGGGAGGCACAGCCAGCTCAGGGCTCCTCACCAGCATGGCCGTGTCGACCGGTGACGCCGAGAGCAGCCGCTCCCCACTGGGTGCCCAGGCCAGGCTGGTGACAGGGCTGTGCCCCGGGTAGGACAGAACCTGGGCACAGCCTGATGACGGTCTGGAAGAGAAAGAGAAACCCCAGGAGGGGTTGGGACAGGCTGGCAGGACGGGCACCTGCCTGGCTTTATCCCAAAGCCAACCCCAAAGGGGGTCCCGATGGCAGGGCGGGGGGTGTGCGGGGGTTGTCACCTGGTGGAGAGGGAGGTGGGATCCAGGTGCCACACCAGGACACAGCTCTGGCAGGCCACGGCCAGGATGGAGGCACAGAGAGGCTTCCAGGCCATGGAGGCCACGTTCCTCTGCAGGCGATGCTTCAGCGAGGGGACGGTGGCACTGCCGGGGAGGGGACACATGTGACAAGGGCAAAACGTGGGACCAAGAGCGTGTGGGCCGTGCCCCAGTGTCCTCTGCCAGCTCTGAGCCCAGTGCAGGGGGAAAGCAGAGTGGGAAGGGGAAGGGGGGATGTGCCCTGCTGTGCCCTGCTGTGCCCTGCTTCCCAGGGTGGGGAGGGGGTGTGGGGGGACAGGAATTCCCAGCCAGGTGACAGCGGGGGACAGGAATTCCCAGCCAGGTGACACCGGAGTGAGCCAGAGCACACCTGGTGCAATTGGCCTGAGCTGCCCCCAGCCCAGCCCTGGGGCAGGAGAGGGCCCGGGCTGGCCAGAAATCCCAGCTGGGAGAGGGGGCTGGAGCAGGGAAGCGTGGAGGGGGCCGCAGGACCAGCCGGCACAGTCTTCTCCTGAGGAGGGATTGGCATTCCCTGGGGGAGCAGGGAGACCTGGGGGAGAGAGGAGACTCAACGACGCTCCAAACACTGCTCTGCCTGTGCCCCCTTGGGCTGTGGGACCCCCCTTGGGCTTGTGGGACTCCCAGGATGCCCCCAGAGCTACAGAGCAGGGAGGGAAAGGAAAGCCAAGGCTTCGGTCAGGATCATGCTCCAGGAAGAGCGGTGGGAAAGGAGCAGGGGGGGCTGAACGTGAGCCCACGTGGGCAGGAAGGCCAAGGGCACCGTGGCTTGTGGCAGCAGGACCAGGGCACCCCGAATCCTGAGAGGCAGCAGCAGCTCCAGCCCCACCTGTTGGAGTTGTAGACCCGGATGGAATCGTCCAGAAGCGCCACAGCAAACTTGTTGGTGTGGGGGTGCCAGGCGAAGGCCCGCACGGGGCATCCGGCCCTGGAGGCAGGGACAGGGCAGGGTGAGGCTCCAAGCAGAGGTGCTGGCACCACCCAGCACCCCCCAGGCTGGCAGAGGCCCTTCCCAGAGTGCCCAGTGAAATAAAACTCCCTTTTCGCTGCTGGATGGGACCGTTTTCTTCGAGAAACTCCCCCGTTCCTGGCAATTATTCCCAGGGCTCTGCCGAGGGGCTGGTTGCCACAGTCTGGGGTGGGAACTGGGAGGAATTTTGCAGTCTCTGATGTAGTGTAACCCTGATTTCAGCACATCAGAGGCTTTGCCTCTCTCTGACCACCAGACACAAACCAGGGCAGCCAGAGCCAGCGGGGAAATACTTGCCCTTAACGTGCCCACCCAGACAGGGCCCTCCTGTCCTTGTACCCCCACCCTTCTCCCAGCTCCAGGGGTGTCACAGACCCCAGGGATGGTGCTTTTGGGACACACAGGACTCACCAGTCCACGGCCTGGGAGAAGGCTGCAATCATGTCCTCACTGGTCAGCTGCAGGGGAGAGCAGAACACTGAGCTGGCAGCGAGGACCCCCAGTGCCCATCCCCTCTTTTCTCTTCCCCTACCTGGATTTTGGCCCCTCTTGGAGCGCTTTGGGCCCTGGCAAGGCCTTAGGGCAGCATTCCCCTCCCTTTGGTGAGGGAAGGAGCAGCGTTTGGAGCTGGGCATTGCCAGGAGGAGCGTTTGGGTGGGTTTTCAGGAGGGAAGGGACCACCCACCACCCCAAACCAGCCTCCCCCAGCCCCAGGGATCAGGCCTGGAAGGACTCACGGAGAGGTGTGGGAACAGGGATCCGTGGAGCGAGGAGAGCCAGTGGCACACGGCCAGCGCGTGGCTCGAGCCCGTCCTCAGCCACCGCAGCCCTGGGGGGGGGACAAAGCACCCTCAGCTGCGCCCACCCGCACCACGGGGGGCACGGGCGGGGGCAGCACAATGGGAACAGAGGGATCCCAGACCCAGAGATCCCGGGAAATCTCCAGGAGCAGCCACGGACTCACCCTCCTCCTCGGCGCTGGCCACCTCCCGGAGCACCCCGCAGAGCCCCGCGTCGCGCCTGCGGCCACAGCGGGGTCAGAGCCCCTTCAGCACCCCCTGCCCGCTTCGGGGGGGCAGACCTGGCACTTTGGGGGGCACTTTTAGGGGCAGGGGGACACTCACCAGGCGCTGAGGCAGCGCTTCCATGGGGACTCGCGGTGGTGGATGAAGGGCGGGCGGGCGCTGGGCTCCTGCCGCCCGTGAGCCTTGAGGGGCTCCTTGGGCAGGCTGAGCACGGGCAGGTCGGGCACCTGTGGGCCCCCACAGCACCCCTGAGCCCACAGCACCCCTGAGACCACCCCTGAGACCACCAGGGACATCCAGGGGGTACCATGGGGGGGCAAGGAGACCCCCCCCAGCACAAGGGGCCAGAACTCCAGCCAGAGCTGAGGGGGAC